TCTTATCTCATCTGTCTCTTCCCGTTCGCTTCACTGCTTGCTCCCGCCGCCGCCCGCCATTTAGGGCCCTTGAGCCGCGCCGATCGGTTCCCCGAAAAGGCCGCGCCCGCCAGCCCTGCTGGGCGACTTCCGCCGGACGGGCGTCGCCTGATTCATCCAGTCCTGGCATCGACCAGCCTCGTTCGGAGCAAGCTCGTTCGCTCCCTCGGGGAACCCGCGGGAGCCCAGAATGACAAGTGAGTGGACTCGGCCACCAACCGAGGCATGGATTACACGGCGGGAGGAAGGGCCCGCGGGGCCCTGATGTCGCACCAGATCCCGAGCGTTGAACCTCGGCCCCCTGGCAGGCCCGTCTTTGCAGGCCGCCCTGGGACCAGCTGCGCGCACATATATATATATATATATATATATATATATATATATATATATATATATATATATATCGCGCGGGCTTTCGGCTTGGAGGATATGTGACCGGCCGAAACTGATAGGCATGGCCCACGCGGAATTCCAGAACAAAGTCGACAACATCCTGAGCAATTTGCCCAAGACTTGGACGTCGTGTAGAGGACCCCTAGGAGCCACTATGTTGAGCCTCCAGCGGATCAGCCGGGCCCTCCAGAACCCCTTCGAGATGGTGACCTCCGACGGCCAGACGATCCAGCATACTGTTACCCCCCCCCCCCCCCCCGCTCTGTTGAATCATCACCTCGAGGAGGCCGGGTTGGCAGACCTCGAGGAGAGAGCCGCTGCCAAGATGGGCCAGGCCAGCGATGCAGTAGACGTCGCAGCTCCAACAAAACATCTTAGTGGAATCGGACCTTACCCAGTGGGAGACAAAAAAACAGCTTGATGTTCCACCGAATTCCGTTCTTGAGGACCAGAAGTAGATTGGCAGCATGTTGCCAAATTGACCCGACTTGCGCTTGCAGGTTCGAGCGCCCCCTGGTCTCCAATCTCATAAGTGAACTGCTGACGCCCCAGGATGAATCATACTTGGAAGGGTTTCCCCTAGCAGCTCCCCTGGCCCATGGTTTCCAGTTTTGCCGCTCCGCCGTGGTTCGCAAGCCTGAGGAGTTCGGATTGCCCTGGGAGTATTGGCTCCGAAACGGACACCCCTTGCCACAGGGCCCCAAACACTGGCACCAGACAGGCTGGGCCGTCGCTGTGTTAGATGAGAGTGGAGACTGCAAGGCACACCTCTCGGGACAGACGGGAGCTCTGTTGCCGCCAACCTCCCCCGTTGCCGAGCATGTTGCTATGGCCGCGGCCCACGTGTGCCCAAGCTTCACCGTCATTCACTCCGGCGGTTCAGGCGCCATCCAGGAGCATGGCAAAGAGCGTTTAGATCGGAAGAGTATGAATGCTTGGTTGGAGTTGCTGGAAAAAGGCTACCATTGCAAAGGGGCCCTTTTCCGAGAGTTTGCAATGTAGAAGCCCACCAGAATTTAGAACCCCCCCTTGTCGGACCCAGGGAACAGTCCCTGGCCAGTGGAAGCGACGCGGCTGACAGGCTGGCCAAAGCCGCGGCCAGCAAAGCGGGAGGGCCTTCAGAGGCCGAAGTCCAGGCTTACGCCGTGAGCCAAGGTTTCCTTCTGTTGCTTGTTTGTCTTAGCGAGGGCCCCCCCGACCAGGCCTGCCATCGCCCCCAAGCCTGGCGGCCGAGCTGTGGAAGGACCCGGTCTCAGGCCTGTGCAGAGGCCACGGGTGGGTGCCGCCTACATCGCCCCTCTCCTGCCTCCGAGACCTCCGATCTCCCTGTGGGCCATCGGCCCGAGGCTGGCCCCCCCCCCCCCCCGGGGCGACCAGTAACAAGCAGGCGGCCACCAGTGGACTCAGATAGATGAGAGCCTCTGGATGTGCGAGATCTGCAGAGTCAGAGCCCGCTCAGAGGCCGCCTGTTTACGCGAAGAAGCCCAGAGACGCGAGGGCCACTGCAAGGCCCCGTCGAACCTTGCAGAAAGACGCAATGGTCACGACAGTTATGCTTTAGACCGCCTCAACAACGAGAGCTGTGTTTTGGCATGCTGGGCTTGCGGCGCTAAAAGCGAATTCTTCCCAAAGGCGTTTAAGAACGAATGCCCTGGTTGCCCCCCCAGCAACAACGAGATCGCGGCCCTCAATTGCCTAAAGCCGTGCCGCCACCCTAAGGGAGGGATGAAGATCAGGCAATGTTTTGTAGACCCCATAACCCTGGACTGTCTAATCTGGGAAGGGCGGAGTGCGCAGCAGGGGCTACAGCAATAGACAGACGAACTGTCCTCAGTGAGATGTGCTAGCCCTCCTCCTGCTCCTCCTGCTCCTCCTGCTCCTCCTCCCCCTCCTCCTCCTCCTCCTCCTCCTCCTCCTCCTCCTCCTCCTCCTCCTCCTCCTCCTCCTCCTCCTCCTCCTCCTCCTCCTCCTCCTCCTCCTCCTCCTCTTCCTCCTCCTCTTGGGTGTTGCTAGAAGTGCCCGTGGCCCAAGGTGCCCCCAGGATTCCCAAGGAGGCCCCCACGGCCTCCAGAGCACCCCTTACGAGGCCCAGGCGTCGCCAAGGCTTCAAAATGGAGCGAAAAGCTGGGGGCATCCTTTGCCAGGAGCGTTTCTAGCAACCCCCGACCAATACAAGCGCGGCGTCCAGTCAATCAAGGCTCCCTTCGGCTCCTCCAGCTCGATTTGACGCGGTTTCTATCGATGCCGGTGCCGATCCGGTTCGACTTCGGATTCCGATGCGGCATTTGGATTCTTGATTCATGGAGGCCTCGCTGGCGGTCCGATGCCCACCGGTTCGATTTCTTCTTCCCGACTTGGCTCTGCACAAACGAAATGGGCACGGAAAGAATGGGTACAACGCCCGACAGGGGATTTTGTTCATTTTGAACAGGACTCGCTGTCCATGCCGCCGCGGCCTGTGTCCATCTGAGACAGAAGGCCGCCTGCCCAACAGCGGCCGCTGTTGGTTCGGGACAACATTTGCTGTTGGGCATTGCGCCCATCGTTTCCGTGCCCACTTCGGGCGTCCAAGTTGCTGCCGATTGCCTGCGACCCGATTAATTTCGATCATCGGTCCGACTTACCGATTCGATTCTGGGCTCCCCTGCGCAGTTAGTATCCTGCCCCACTCTTCCCCAGTTGTTGTTCTTTCTCTCCCTCTCTCTCTCTCTCTTTCTCGCTGTTCCCTGTGGCGCAGTCGTGTGACTGCCGCACCCGCCGCACGCGCTGGACGCGGGCGGATGATCGCCAGCCCTCCGCAGCCAGAGCCGAGCAGGATGTCTGAAAGACCCATGCAGGAGAGGAGGTAGGAGGGCGGAATGGGGGAGGGGCGGCCGGGGAAAGTAGTGGGAGGAGGAGGAGGAGGAGGAGGAGGAGGAGGAGGAAGCGGACGAGGAGGACGAGGAGGAGGAGGAGGAAGAAAAGGAGGAGGAGGAAGAGGAGGAGGAAGGAGGAGGATAATAATAATAAACATAAGAATACGAATAATAGTAATATTAATATTAATATTTAGAATAATAATGATAATACGAAGAATAATGATATTAATAAGAACAATCCTAATACTAATAGTAATACTAATAATACCATTGATAATAATGGTAGTAATAACAATAATAATAATGCTCAGCAGAAAAATAGTAATAATGATGATGATGTGGATACTAATGATAATAGTAATACTACTTATAAGAATACGATTACTACTACCACTACTACTACTACTACTACTACTACTACTACTACTACTCCTACTACTCCTACTACTACTACTACTACTACTACTACTACTACTACTACTACTACTACTACTATTACTACTACTACTACGACTACTATTACTACTACTACTACTACCTTTACTCCGAAAAATAATAACAATACTCATAAAACTAAGAAACGCAATACTAAGATTCATAATGATGGTAGTACTAATAATGGTAATAATACCAATCTTAAAATCAATAACACGAATAAACACATTATTACTAATAATCATAAACTAATTCAAACATAAAAACAATAATAATAGGATGGGTGGAGGAGGAGGAGGAGGCGGAGGAGGAGGAGGAAGAGGAAGGG